TGTGTGGTTGTGACAGACTTGGGCAACTATCAAAGCACTCAGATGTGTTTCTTTGGTTTTACACTGATGGAGTTTTCTGGTTTTGAGTTGTCAAAGTAGGACTGTATGAAGAAATGAATGGAAAGAAAAGAGTTAAACCTTTAATGTGACATTAAGCAGAATCATGCAATGTTGTACATCTTGAATGGTATTTTGAATCTAAACAAGGGGCGGAGCCAGAGGAGTGGCCAGAGTGGCAAGTGCTACCCCTGGCACCTGATTGGCCACGACCAAATAATTAACAAGTAGGTGGGGATCTTGAATTTTGTATTTGCGTTTAGATTTTGTTAAAGGTTGTTCTCTGATACTACTGTACTATATACATTTTCAGCTGTGTATATTCCAAAATGGCTGAATTACAACCCTTTGTAAAATTAGCATTAGCAGTAATGTTTAGCTGATTTGGGATTAGCATCAGCAATCAGAATGTGATCGTTCTTAAATACTCCATAACAAATTTCAGCTCAGTAAGTCTTAAAATGGCTGAATTGTTGCTTTTTAAATTTAACTGTGGTGGCAATCTTGATTTCTTGATTAGCATTCAGAATTTGGAAAATGTTGTTTTCAGCTAATTCTACACTAATCTTCAGTTRTGTATGTGTAAACACAGCTAAATAAMAAGTTGTGACTAGCATTCAGTATGCTGTTTGGATCATTCTTTACTATYATCACAGAATTTCAGCTCAATATCTCTTAAAAKAGATGAATTAAACATTTGGAATTAGCGGCCATCTTGACTTTTCAAATGCAGAGTGCTTTTCTTTATTTAGTTGTGCCCCCTATAAAAGCACCTTGCCCCATTAAAGTGGTTCATGAGATATTTTTGCTAATGTTTCAAATAAATGAACGCAAAAACACAAGGCTACAATATTATCACTCCATATTTGGCGTCTAAAGGTGTTTATTCTTAAAAAGCTATAAAAGGAACCCCAAACAGCGTGGTATTATAAGTCATCATAGTTGTGAGAGTTGACTTTGGACTTTTGTTACACCAGACYAAGACATCTTCAGCAAAAGGATCATAAAATGCCATTTTCATGGCTTTCAAACAGCTCTGAGTCCAAGTGATCCCATTTCCTGCATCTGTACCGTAACCATCTGCTGAATGCTTTGCTCAAGGGTAAAACATTACGGCCTCAACCAGAGTTTTGGCCCTAAAGGCTCCTGATTTCTGGCTCCGTGTCACTGCCTTCATTTCTTACAGCTCTCTCCTGAGCTGTCTCTATAACGAGATCTGGATGAGGGAGCGAGCTGCTTTTTTCAACAACGCAGTGGTGGAAAAATAGTTTCAAGCTTAAGGGCTTTTGAAGCCCAATGGCCATCGGTATTCTTGCCATAGCCTCTGTGGATTTCTCTGCTACCTGCAAACTGGGTCAGTTTTTGCATTATTTTAGCGATTTGTATCCCGCTGCAAAGAGAGGCGAGGTTTTTGCACATGCAGGCATGAAGATGCACACCTGCACTTTGCCRCCCTCTGTTTCCCTCTCTTCCTCACACGCACCATTGAGTTCATTAAGATGAGCACATATTTGTCACTTTAACACACAAATGTCAATTGAGAGCCACTAAATGAGCTAACGCTGCAATAACTTGGCAACCATTGCAATGTTGTAAAAATAATAACACAATAAAATTACAGTGAGGACTAATTATAATTAAACAACAATCAAAACTGAGCATTTGCACCACTAAATGTAACTTTGTCCTGGTTTGATTGTATTCATGTCATTAAATTAAAAATAAAGAAATAGTGTAGACATTTAAAAGTAGAGTTCGGTGGGAATGTCATGAACAATAAACAGTTTACTTATTAAAGATAGCTGACAATTAGAGAAATAGAGTTTGCATTCTATTTATGTCAGACATTGGAACTCAAATCTGACACCAAACCCAAACTTTGGCTACGTTCACACTGCAGACAAATGTGACCAAAATCCATTTTTCCCCTCATGTGACCCATATCTCTTTTTATGACAGTGTGAATGCGACAAATCCGATTTTTTTCAAATCCGGCCCAGACCTTTTCAGTATATAGTACTGAATCAGATACATATCTGATGTCTTTCAAAGTGACTGCAGTCTGGACGCACATGTCACATTATATTCGACTTTTTCATCAGTGAGGTGGAGTGAAGGATAGATAACTAACCTCGAGTCATGCTGTTTAAATCTGTAGCTCTAAGTGTCTTCAGCTACACAACAGATGTCCAGTTGCCTCTTTTCATTTTCCGTGTCCTGGATGACTGAGAATCCGCAGAAACAAATGATAATAACGTCCAACTTTGGTCGCGAACCACATCAATCCTAAAGTTTGATACTTTACTTCCAGCACTTTGTTACAAAAATAAAATGCTGCACCGAAGCATGCAGTCAGAGGCAGCTTCAGATATAAACACTGAACTAAACAAGCATGTTAGCTTATTATTTAGCCGGCTCTGAATGAACTTCAGAATTGATGTGCCACAAGCAGCATGTTCAGCTAACTCTGTAAACAAACAGCTGAATGTGATGTCACGTGTTTTCTGCAGGGTTCCATCAGTACCTTGGAGAGTTCACTGGAGTCTGATGGAGCTCGCATTTAAAATGTAATTTGAAGGTTCATGCCAACAAATCAGATTTTTTTTTAAAAATCAGAATTAAGCATTAAGACCTGCAGTGTGAAAGTAACCTAAATCTGCTCCAGTTTCATGAAAACCTGTAGGATTTGACGCAAACTGTATATATTATGTTTCCCATGAGAGCAAATGATTGATGACGTGCAAACTTTCCTAATTGAATATAATATTTATTATTGCAGCTATCATCACTTTTACTGCACAAAGCAGCCAAACTAGATTTTGAAATTCTTGTTGAGTTGGAATTCCAACTTTAGGGGGCATTCCAGTTACGCACTGTAAAAAATGAAATGTTGGATTTACTTAACCATGTTATGTGACCTGGTTCCACTTAACTGAGTTGAGTAAATTCAAAGCAATATACCAGTTTTTAACCAAAGAACATGAGCATGTTGCTTTGAATTTACTCAACTCAGTTAAGTGGAACCAGGTCACATAACATGGTTAAGTAAATCCAACATTCCATTTTTAGAGTGTGGTTTTTGTAACTTCAAAACTTTAAGATTTTTTAAAACTTATTCACAAATATTTGCCCCATAAAAAAACATCAAGTTCCATTCAGTCCATTCAGAATATTCTCTTTGAAATCTCCTTGAGGTGACTTTTTGGATTTTGTTTGTTTGTTTGTTTGTTTGTTTGTTTGTTTGTTTGTTTGTTTGTTTGTTTGTTTGTTTGTTTGTTTGTTTGTTTGTTTGCTTATGCTACTTTAAATTTTTAGCTCCTGTTTTACTTTTTTTAGCTTTAGCGTTGCAACTTTAGGGAATCTTTTTAGTTTAGAACGTAAATCTGTCAATCTGTGTTTGATTACTCTGGCGTTCTCAAGGACCCCGAAATGTGACACAAAAATCAGAATTTTGGAAATGAAAGTGAAAGTAGTCAAACTGAATTTATAATACAACAAAGTCTAAAAAAAATCTAAAAAAAACAATACAACAAAGTACAGTTTCAAAGCAAATTCAGATTCAAAGCAAAATTCATTTTCGAACCATTAAACTCAGTTTCAGTTTAGTGAAATTCATATTCAAACAATGCGTTCAGTTTCAAAATATGCACATACTGACTCAGTCTGAGCAATTCAAATTCAGTTTCTGCTGGCACAAGTTTATTCCCATAAACTTGGGTTTTGTTTTGCTCGGACTAGCCGATAACTCATTATTCTGTTCTTAACTGAACTTTGATTCTCCAAACCGAAGTAATTCAAGAGTTTCCTTCAACAGGTAAGATATTAACTCTTCAAATCATAACCACACTTCTAAAGATCTGAACTACCCCTTTAACTGCAGTTACAATTCTAAAGCAGTTTTGAGCTGGGCTTTGTCATTACGCTTTGACATAAATAAGGACCGGAGAGCGCTGCAGCAACAGCTTGACTGTTTCGATTAAGTTTTATGGTCGTTTCTGTCACCGAACGCCTCCAGGAAACCTTCCAATTTTGAGTCATCTTTCCAACTTTAACACTGTTTCCAATTCTAATCATCGAGCGTGTACTCTGTCAGCTGGGAGCCCTGCAGACAAATGAGGGGCCAGGAGAAGATGTAGGGTGTGTGTGTGTGTGGGGGGGGGGGGGGGGGGTAGGAAGTGGGACGACAATAATGAGATGCTGGAGAGGGGGGTGGCGTATTTGAGAAGAACAGAAATGCTGGTGAGACTGTGCAGAAAAATATAAGAAGGGAAAGAAAATGGCCAAGTAGGAGATGGAGAGAGGAGATAGGAGAATACCTTCATCTGAGGTGAATACAAATGATCGGAACATGAGCAGAGATAGGAGTGTGTGTGTGTGTGTGTGTGTGTGTGTGTGTGAGTGTGAGTGTGTGTGTGAGAGAGAGAGAGAGAAAGAGAGAGGGGAGATAAAAGAATGTGAAAAAGATGGATTCACTGATGGGCTAATGAGAAGACAAAGGCACCGGGATCCACATCGATCTGTGCCCTACAGCAGATGGACAGATGTGTAAACCTGAAGCAGCCTGACTGTTGCTGCTGGAGTCCATAGGATTGTTGGAAGCATTAAACTGAGCCCACATGTTCAATCTGATGGAAGTTTGAGCTGTCTGCTGCAAAAACATCAAAAAACATTTTAAAAAACTGAGCCAGATGCACTAAATGTGCTGAAATATTTATGCTGAAACCTCTGCAGTCAGAGAGAGCACCTCTGGAGAAGCTTTTACTACAAAAAAAAACTAAATCACGTGGTTCGGGTGCTTTGTGTGTGTGTGTGTGTGTGTGTGTGTGTGTGTGTGTGTGTGNTGTGTGTGTGTGTGTGTGTGTGTGTGTGTGTGTGTGTGTGTATTTTTGTATCAGAGGTGAGCATCAGCATCATTACAGAGAGGAGCAGAAGGCTTTACTCACAGCGGGTTCGAGCTGTTCCAATAAACCGCATGCCGGTTGCTGGCTCTGGAAAGGTGCGAGTTTAAAAGCGCCAGCGTGATCAGGCTGAGAAAAAACGGTACGGGAGCCATAATCCCTCCTGTACCCGTCCAGCCGCCGGGTCCCCTCTCTTCCTGTGTTGCGTCCCCTTCTGCTCCGAGTGTCTTTCACAACATCCCAAAGCGCGTCTTTAACTTCCCAGGGGTCAGGATCCTCACTTGGAGGCTGCACGCTGCGACGGGAGCCATTTACGCATCTTGACTTCAGCCAAATGGACCTGCGCGCGTCTTTGCCGCACTTTACAGTCACTCCTTTTGTTTCCCAGTTCTGCTCTCATTTAGAGTAAAAATAAATAAATAAAAGTATACAAAAAAACACAAAAAGAAAGGGGCTGCCAAACTGACAGGCGACAGCTCAGAGGTGGAGGGTTATTGTTTTTTAGGCTGCAGCCTGGATCTCTGCTGGGAGCTTCCTCTCATCAGCAGCAGCCGCAGCAGCAGCAGCCACGCGCGGCCAACCCAACGCTGCAAACCCGCCCTCTGATGGCAGAGATGCTCCCACACATCCATCCGCCGAGCGGTCCCGCCCCCTCATTAGTGATCACCCGCCAACCACAAGACGAAAGGCGGGCGATATTGCCTCTTTCTCTGCGCGCCGCTCACTTTGCGTGTTGGCAAAATATCTCAAAAACCACTGCGCAGATTTTAACGAAACTCACAGGAAATAATCACTGGATGCACATCTACAACTTGCTAACTCTTGAGGTCAACTCAATTGAAGATGACCGCCATAGCCAATTGATTTTGATTTGTCTGTTAGCAAAATATCTCGAAAACCACTGCGCACATATAAACGAAACTCGCAGGAAATAATCACTGGATGCACATCTACAACTTATTAGCTGTTGAGGTCAACTCAATTCAAGATGGCCGCTGCAGCCAATTTATTTTTAAAAACACAAAAATGGCGCAAACTTAATCAATTTCACAGATAATGAGCTATAGAATTATCTGTGATAGTAGCAAAGAGTAATCTCTAAAGTACGCTTCAAGCTCTACACACTTTGCATAGTAGCCTACCTTTATATATTATGTTGATGTTAATTGTCGAAGTCAACCACATTTGTCTGTTAGAAAAATATCTCATTAATCTCTAGATAGATTTTAATGAAACGTTCAGAAAATAATTGAATCTACAACTCAATTACTTAGTGAGTCGATCCAACTAAATATGGTTGCCTCAACCAATACTGTAGGAGTTGCGCRCATATTGGTCACTAGCAATAGAAAACCTTTAACCATAATAGGTACAAATCAACCAATAGACCTATTTAGCACAAATATAACCCAGGTGGCTCTAAGCTAAAATTTGATTTGGTGGTAAATAAGAGTCCTTCTCAACTCTCTGAGTGCTTATGTTTGAGATCTCACTATTCCACAGTTATTTTCAAAATAAATAAACTTTTGCCATTTCTCAACAGAAAATGGTATTTAATGCACCTTTCTTTAAGGAATGAAAGTCCTTTGTTTTCTGCGTTATTTGCATTTAAAACAGCACAATGTGCACAAAGTCAGATGATATTAACCAACCAAACCAAGCTAACGATCAGGCTAAAAATTAACCATAAGCTGTGCTTAAAACTTGGTGAGGAATAGTTCCACTCTTCTGAGTTTGTAGAAGACGGTTTTCTGTCTCAGGTCAAACAAACTCTGCCTCAGCAAGGTCTTAGGAAAACAATTCTGGGGTCTCAACATGTGCTGTTCAAGCATTTTAAGAAAGACAAAGAAAACCATCATCAATAGTTTTTTTACATGAAAATTAGAAAACAGAACCCAGGTACACCTTTACTGTCCATAGAAGTCTGTTCCGAAGTGGTCCTCATGAAATTCAAAACTCGTGACATGAAAATGCGACCAAAGGATTCAGCGAGAACTCAAAGTGTAAAAAGAGAAATGGCAGCAGGTGCTCTGAACTAATAAATGAACAACTTGAAAGATCTGATTCCAGCAGAAGGCAGTTTGTTTGCTGAGGGGCTGGAAAGCGGCTCAATAATGAGTGTCTGCAGGCAGCAGTGAAGCAGCTGGGGGGGGGGGGGGTCTGAGGGAGTTTAGGGCTGCATTTCTGCAAACAAAGCTGAAGATTTACTCCGAATTAATAATGACCTCAAAGCTGACAAATGCAAGCCCACAACTTTCCCTCCATGCAGCATGACAGATGGGTCTGATTGGCTCCAAATTGGCTTTATGTTGAGTTCAGGTGACCTCAATAAATCAAAACGCAAATAATTCACATCCACAGAATGTTAATTGTGATTTTCCCACATTTTGTACATAACTTTCACATTTTCAGTCCACACTCACACTTCAGATTGTGAGCCCTCAGCTGAATCTGAAAAAAAAAGTTATGACTCACTAAAAAATTAAATATATTGAAAATGCAGCACAGGCCTCATGTATTTCTGTGTTTTTCTTTGAGTAAATATTGCTCAGCTCAGGGTTTACTTTGGGTTAAAGGTAGTGGAGAATAAAATTAAGGACTAAAATAGTCTCTGGAGCTGAAATGACACACCGATAGTTTTGATGATGGTTTCAACTCCTCATAAAAACAGAATTATGAATATTTTCTTTAAAAAAAGACTATTTGATTAGAAAAAATTCTTATGAGTTAATCTATGTGTTGCAAAGCGCAGCGTTTGCTACTTCCTCACATTTATGAGACGTTTTACATTTTATTAACAGAGCGTTTTAGTTTTAAAACCAGTTTGCATATTTAAATCATGGAACATAAATGGGTGGAAAAAATCATTTTAAACGATTTGCAGTTCTCAGTGGGAAGTTGCCTTTGGGGAATTCATGCAAGTGTTCCATCTAAAGGCACCAATAGATCTTTAAACTCATGTTTGACACTGAACGACTTTAATTGAAAACATATGTATTTTTTTTTGGGGGGGGGGGAGGACTTTCTCTATTTATTGCTTTCCCATTGGGTTTTAAATTGCACACTTTACAGAAAAGAAGACAATGGAAGTCATCTTTTAAGGCAAAATTGAAGGTTAAGGCTGTCAAACTAATTTCAGATTAATTTTTGAAAATAATACTGTTAACAGAATGCAGTAACACAATAAAGTAATAGTGTGTGTTTAACAGTGGGACACAGACTTGGAGGGCGTATAAAAATTTGGAGACTTTAATTAACCTGTTTAATTTCACRGGTGGTTCAACCACTCCATCTAACCTAATGTCAGCTTGCAATATTAATCTCCGAGTTAACTCCAAATATTAAGCATTAGCCTCCGGATTGATTAACTCTGCCAATTTCATATCTCATGGTGTCCTTTTTAGAGAAGATATTGATGATATTCATGATGCAACGTTAGACTGGATTTCCTCAGACGATGAAAGAATACTCGTCATGTTTCTCAGTCGAGTCCCTGAAGGCCACAGGTCACACTTGTTTAAATAAATCGGTTGTAGATCTGCTGCTTATTTCCCACTTTTCCAGCTCTCATCCGTTTAGTCTGTTGCCCCTGAGATAGACTGCATAACAGAGAGCGAGGCTCACTCAACCAAATAGCTTACTTGTTTTTTTTTCGGCACAATTATTTAGATAAAAAATAAGTTTTTTGCAATCTGCATTGATGATGTACAAAACATACTCAATTCTTTTCATCATCTAACCTTTTCTGATTCGTGAGTTGCCTCTCAAACTGAATTTTTGAGTCTTGACTGATTGTTGTTTTAAATCACCAAATGTCAGCTGATTTATTCATCATCACTTYTTTATCTAACCCCAATATATATAATTTAGAAAGTGCCTCTAAATTGTGATTCCAACAAACTCAACATTTTGAATGAACAATGGTCATTAATAGTTAAAAATAAATTTAAAATCAATTGATGGATCTTTATTCTAAGCACAGAATAAA